ACTGGACACTAGTGTGTTTTGGTCTTTGACTAACGGCTGGACTGAATCTACACTCATACTCCCACAAGATGGGGAGGGTAATCACAACCCAAACTTCAATTCATCAGTCAATTAAGCCTTGAACAGTGTCGCTGAGATATGTTCTGATTGAGCTCTAGACACGTGGGTGCTAGTTACGCTGTGTATGTACAGAATATACAGATTCTATCCTTTCACCAACTCCCCTTTAAATCCTCAATCTATCGCTCGACCCAATGCCAACATCAAACAGCTTTGAAAATTCACAAACTCTGAACTCCTCAACCCCAGTCCCTCAAGCCATAACTCAAAAATCCTAATCCACCAATTCTCCCACCAATTTCAAAATCTCCATCTCCCCCGCTTCCTTTCGTTCCTCCTCCCATTTTCCATAAGCATCCCACCACCACCCATGCGTCACACCATCATTCCCCTTATACCCCGCTACCCCATCTGCACCCACACGTTTCGACCACGGCTTATCAACTATATAATGCAAGCCTCTCACCTCCTCATCGCGCCACATCTCCGGATGCCAATACCGCCATGTTTTCAAGGCATTCCATTTCCATCCCACGCTCACCCATCTATCGCGCCACCACTCGGTGATAAAATCCTGATCCGGAAATTGATAGCTCGAAATCTCAGTCTCATGCGTATCGATAAATTTCCACATGTCGTCCCAAGTTTCCTTGCTGGGCGCAAATATAAATACTCCCGAATTGAGAAGCGTATGTGTTTGCGGCCCGCTGGATCCAGATGGCACGGGTGGGTTGTGTTCGACGGGATTGGGACTGGGGGTTACATAGGCGCAGTTTTCGCGCGTCCAGGACGCCGGGGCCCAGGTGTCGTGCTCGAGGTTGCACACGCAGACGTGGTTGGCGGCGAGGAGTTTGCCGGCTTCGCCCGGGATGGCCGGGTTAGTGAGAGGATGTTTGAAAACGAGTTCGTCCATGGGCCCGAAGATTAGAATGTCGGCGTCGAGGAAACAGATACGCTCGTAGGGATAGGTGTACAGGGAGAATACTTGGAGTTTGGTCCAGGTGGAGGCGAAGCGGGCGGCGACGCCGGAGTTGGCGCTGAGGTTTAGGAGGGGCGTGGGGTGAAGGATTATGTTTGAGGCGACGGCTTCGCGCTCGAGAGCGGGGAGGTAGTGCTCGGGGAGGTTGGCGTACATGAGGATGAGCGGGAATTGGGAACCGTGCTTTTTGAGAGTGTGTGCGAGGAGGATGGCGCCGGGGAGATAGGAGGGAGAGGTTATGAGGGTGGCGTAGGCGGCGGCGGGGTCGTTGGGGGTGTGGTGGTGGTGGAGGGGAAGTGTGCGGAGGTGGGGGATGTGGTGGCGGAGCTGGGAGTGGACATTTTGGGGATGGGGGATGGTTGAAGGAGGGGGTAATAGGTAGGTAGGTTAATAGAGATTGAAAACTACTATTTGGCAAAAGAAAAAAAAACGGTTGTGTAGCAATCCTGAGTAAGTACCGAGAGGTAGGTAGATATCAAAATCAAACGGTAAACATGAATAACATCTCAGTAGATGCAAAAGAAAAATCCTAAAGTAAATACCTAGGTACTTCTTATACTCGACTCGAGAAGGAGTTCCTGCCGCGTTTTTTTTTTATCGCCACTACACAACACGGCAGGAATAACCTAACGTTAATGTTGACTGGGAGATTTTGGGTAATGTACTAGGTATGGAGGTAAGGAACTGCTAGGTACGAGTACCTAGGTAGGGGGTAGGTAGGTAGGTGAGAAAAATCTAGACGTCATGGAATTGGATGAAAGGCGTCGGTAGGTAGCGAGTGAATGGATAACTGTCTTTGTATAGGGAGGTAGGTGCTTAGGTGTTGTGAAAATCCTTTTGCTCGGAGGACTTATCTGCTTTTTGATATCATACCGGTATCTTGTATGTATGTATGTTTGTATGTATATATACATAATAAATACAAACAAAATAAAGAAGATACATCAAACAATCTCTCAATAGGCATTACCAAAGTTGGCCCGATACATGTGAGTACCAGACAACAAAAATAACACAATTCCAATTTCAATTCCAAATTAAAAAGCCAAGTCCCATAGCCTGCTCTTGAATGAAATCGAAGTGGCCAATTCGATTCCGGTCTGGATCTTCCATCTAGATATTTTTTATTCTCCTATGTAGCGCGGAACCCTTGCGAGCGAGCCATGGGAAAGTTTATTCCTCGGCTAGATCGTTCCCCAGATCTTATCTTATCTCAAGAGGGAGTGTACCTCCCCTTCGTATCTAGGTAGGCCAAGCACCAAACCTGCGCAAATTTGAAAATAATTCAGCCTTTTTCAATATCGAATTATAATTTGATTTGGTGTTTTCAATCTTCTGAAATCAAGAACCAAGAAGTGTTTTTTGGAATAAATTATGGATATTGTGAATTTCATAAGGGAATATCGTTTTCTTAGGCATTCTGATCTTGGATTTTGATTAAAGTATGGACTTTTGGTGGCCGCCTTTTTCTCCGAGTCGCGAGGGGTAGTCTAGCAGAATGTCGGATTACCCAAAAGCTCGGAGGATTCGCATTTTTCGGCATTTGAATGGTCAGCAAGAAATGGTCAGCAAGAAAATGGGATATGATGAATGGTCAGCAATTGGAAATCACCCCTCCCCCCTCTCAATCCGCATTCTGGGGCAGGTGGAATTATCGAGATTGGGACATTTTCCTGTTCTTGGATTTTTTGGTTCTTTTACCTTCATAATGTATAAATCCCCGTTTTATAAAAGTGAGAAGTGTAAATGCATCGTGTGTTTCCTTTTCCTTTTCGCTCCTTGCTCCTCTTTACCACCCTGAGATTGGACGCTGTAGTACCGGTTCCGAGTACGATTTCTACGTGCGTTAGTTCGGTCAGATCTTTATCTTTATCTTCAGGTCTTGGTTTTGGTTTTGGTCCCGCCTCGAGAGATATAAATTGGACGGCGCTTGTGAAGGGCAATTGCATCGCGTGGAATACTCACAGCCGTATACCCATTGCTCAATTTACGCAAACTCGAAGCGCAAAAATGTCGACGTCGAGTAAGGATGTAGAAGAGGTGATTGATAGGGCGACGGAGCCGGTAAGCAAGCAAGAGGAGATATTGGGAGAAAACGAGGGGAGGGAAGAAGCATCGAAGGTGGTTGAAATGGAAGAGAAGAAAATAGAGAAGAAAGAAGAGAAGAAAGAAGAAGCGCTCCCGAAGTTAAGCGCTGCAGATTTTAAAATCTATAATTCCATGGCGGAACATATGAATTATTTCGTACGTTTACTTCTTCATCCTCATCCCAACTCAACTCAACTCAACTAACCCACCCCCAGCACAACCACTTCCGACAAACCTGGACGCTCCTCAAAACCGCCACGACCAATAACCAACGACCGCGCGATCTCTCTCTCCGCCAATTCCTCCAAACCGGACTTTCCTTTCTCTCCCAACTTGAAGTCCACCACGGCATCGAAGAACAACACATATTTCCCGTTCTGGCGCGCAAGATGCCGGAATTCGCGAATGGGAAAAATGCAGCAGAGTTGTTGAGACAGCATAGGGAGATTCACAAGGGGATGGATGTTATGCAGGAGTATCTGGAGAAGTGTAGGGATGGAGAAACGGAGTTGAGTTTGAAGGTTTTGGGGGAGAAGATGGATGGGTTTGGGGAGGTGTTGTGGAAGCATTTGGATCAGGAGGTGGAGACTTTGGGGGCGGAGAATATGAGGAGGTATTGGTCGAGGGAGGAGATGAGGAGGATGCCGATGTAAGGGAGGGAGAGGAGGGGAGGATATGAGGTTTTAGCGAGGATGAGAAAGAGGGGGGGGGGGGGAGGAGTTAACTTTAATTCAATGGGAGAGGAGACATTGTGAGAATTTCCTGAGAATTGCTAGCCTGAAGAATGTTACTATACTGAGAAAGTATAAATAGAATCATTGAACATCTAATTTCCATAGGATGATAAGAGCAGTGTAGTCCATACACTCGTTCGCCTCATAGAACTGAACATCCAAAGCAAGCCAGTACCAGATAAAACGTGATGTATCATATACCCAACTTCCCCACATAATATCCGAGAGCAAGGCTTATTTATGTTCTCGGGTTCAAGTATTGGTGTGTGTTTATTCCAAGCATTGAAAATGAGGCTTGCGATATGCACGATTCAGCGGCTGATTTTGTGTACCCCCGGGATTTTTGTACTCAAATGTATACACACTGTCGCGTTGGCACTCCACCCAAACCTCTGCTCTTCTTTTTCTATGGTAAAACTTTCACTGAGTTGATGAAATCATTAATGGAGGTGAGGCGTGTTCTTCGCTACCTACGTGGCATTACTTTCCGCTGCCCTAAAAACAGGGCACTTGTTACGCCTCGTACATATCAAGTCCCAGCGAGGCTTTCGATGTAGATGCGTTAGTTTAGAACTTTTATATGTAGCTCGAGTGTGATACACTTTCTCCATTCTCAATCCCATGTTTGGATTTCTTTTTCTTCTATTTTTCTATCACAATCTTGTTTTAATATCACGTCGACAACTCCGACTCTATGGACAACACCAATGTGTAAGTCACAAGATGTCTTTTTTTTTTTTGGCTTGATATGCACGACATATTTTTCTGGGGAACCGGAGAAGCTTGTTCGAAAGCTACACATCATCAACTATTGCGACATTTCCATGCAGCAAATTGCCGGAAGGATTTTTCAGTGGTCATTGTCGCACCATTTTCCTTCTTCTCCAACAGGATTCCCAAAGGAGTTTCCACGGAACTTTCCACAGGACTTCCCACAGGACTTTCCACAGGATTTCCAATGGATTTTCAACTACATTCCCAAGCTTTCTCAAAGCGAGAGCAGTATTTCTTGAGCATATTTCTATTTAGGACAACATCAAAAAATACTGAAATTCCAGGACTTTCCACCGGATTTTATCTACATATTCTAGAATGGACACACACATCCACTATGTACTTATTGCTAACAGAAACCAAGAATTTCCTGTTGCTCCATTATACCATCAAGACTAGTCAGACCACATACTAACATTTGGTTCTTGTGCAGACCGTCATGGGACCCGGGTGATGAATTTAGTGGTAAGTTTTATTTCTTTGATACATCCAACTTTTTTAATAAAAAATCATCGTACTTAAAATTATATGCTTGGAAAGATTCATTGCCATTTGATGGTTTCTCGTTTGCGTTTTTGGGACTTGAGCGGTGTGGCACCACTTTCAACTATGAACCTTCGGACGCCTGGAACCCGACTCAACAAGTCTCGGATCCCTTCCATACCATGCAGCAACTGCGTCCAGAACGGTACATAAATTCCTCATTCCAATGTCCATATGCCAATGGGCAATCCGGGTCCTAGGATCAAATATTGTGTGCACTATTTGATGGCCCAAAGACTGACATATACCAGAGCCAACAGTGTCCCAGTTACCCAAGTGAGCCTCCCATCTTTGTCGCAAGGTAGCACAGATAACCAAGCAATCGAGCGACCAATTAACCTGGCGTAAGTCACGTCTTATCATCTTCTGTTGAGTATTTACTAAGTCATGAGAAGGCAAAACACAGAGGACGAAGAGCGCCCTCACAGGTGCACTGCACGAGGCTGTAACGTCCGCGGCTTCAAAAAGCAAACGGATCTTCGGCGTCACCAAGGTACACATGGCAATCCTTTGTTCTTTTGTCCCGTGACAACCTGCAAAGCTCACACCAAGGGATTCAAACGCAAAGATAACCTTAGGGAACATCGGAAACGAGTGCACGATGCAAATGCACGCGCTTCCGATGTTCGGGCCGATGATTTGAAGCAGGCTTTACGAGCCGCATCAAGCGAAGATGAAGAAATGGAAGACTCGAGCTCGGTACAGGTGCCGGCGAATATGCAAAACGGTTCTATGGTCGATGCACCGGCTAAATCGGTTCTCTTAGCAAAGCTCGTGGAGTTACGTACCTCACGAGAAAGATTCATTTTTGAGAGAGACGAAGAGATCAAGGCAGTTGAGACGACTTTGTCTTTGATAAAAACCTACTCACATTAGCTCCAGCCAATGCAGTTCTTTGTGGTTTGGGTTTATAGCTTGGCTTTCTGAGTGTTGGGTCGGATGGTAAAGATGATCTGTCGGAAAAAGGTCATCGGGATATTTCTTTGGACAGATATCTTGCTGTTTGGGTTGTACGGGTTGGTTCTTGGAAGGTTGATCATAAGGCCTTTTTATTCAGCTTGAGTTCTTGGTGGGTTGGAGTATGGTTACGGACGAAATAGGCCCCAAATATTCTTTTAATAGTCGAAAATTGAGTTTTCTGCGTTCGACTAATATCACACTGAATTTGCCGTTCCTCTCAATAAATGTGCTGTCTGAATATTTAACTCATCTGGCATTTGAATTTCTGACAACGCCAGAGTTGAATATCCGAGTCTAAGCTGGACATGGAACTGCCGTGTCTGAGATTGAAGAACATCTGGAGAATGATCTATTATTCTGTGAATTTGCATAATATATACTTATGATAACTTGTTTCGCTTAAGTCACAAGAAGAAAGATCTCTCTAATTTTTGACCTCCATGCAGCCACTCGGCAAGTCAAAGTTGAGAATAATAGTGAAAAATCATATTCACACGCCTCGACGTAGATCCCAATATACACAGTGCCATGTTTTAGCTTCATAATGTTTTGTTTTGCCTGATATACAGTGTCCTTAAACACTTTCCCATGCACTCAATGCATATTATACACACTCTATTACCCATTTAATAGTGCTCTTCTTCTCCCATTCTAATAATCATATATCCATTTCTTCTGCAGATCCTCAACTCTTAGCCTCCTCAACCTTCTTCTTCGACCACCCTTCATCTGGCATCAAGTCCCTCCTCACTCCCTCAAACCTAACCAAATTTTCCTTATACGGATGCGCCGCGCCCTCAAACGCCTTCAATCGTCCCAATCTCCCATCGCGCAACCGATTCTTTGGCAACATTCCACTAACTGCCTTCCTCAGAACTTCTGCGCCTCCAAACTTCTCCATCAAACCCTCCATACTGATTTCCTTCAAACTACCAGGTCGTGTATTGTGACGATAATATTTCTTCTGATACATTTTTTTGCCGGTGGTGTGGAGGTTCGCGCAATTGGTAACAACGACATAGTCACCACAGTCGGTTGAGGGATCCCAAATTGGTTTGTGTTTTCCCATGAGGAGGAGTGCGATGCGGGAGGCGAGACGCCCGAGGGGCGGTGGTGTAATGCGGGCTGTGACAGAGGGGGGTGAGGAGGGGTTTGGACGGGGTCGAAGGGTGGAGAGAGGGATGTGCGGGGTGCTGGCGGAGATGTGGTGCCAGGTGCGGGAGTAGGCTAGTTTTGTCTGAGAGTGTGTTAGTTTATGTATGGAGTTTCTTTGGGGACTTATTTATGTATATTGACGACTTCGATTATGCATGCTAGAAGAGGAGTAGTGGACGAAGAGATTGAGACCTTACAAATCCATTTGTTTGCGACATCGTGGGATACGATTGGCACAATAACCAATGCTAAATACGATGCACGGGGGAGAAAAGAATTGGCAGCTAAAAAGTTCCCTTGTTGTCGTCGTCAAATTCAAGCCTTGAAGTCAATCGTGATTCTAGATGCCAAGACATTTTTTCTCGAATGGCTTTATGGGATTTTGATTGGCTAGATCTTTTGGCGAGGCTTCCGAGGCTGGATTTCAAAGCATTCATTGTTGCCCCACGTATGATGGAGATGTTGTATTTTGAACTTCATTCATATTGAATCTTCTCTTGTTTATTATTCTATCAACATACAGAAAGGCTGAGCAAGAGTTTTCAAAAATACAAACTCTTCAAAATGGCCATCACAACTCCCTTCCAGGTAGTTCCCCTCGATTCCGATCACGTGTATTGGCCAAAATCGAAATATCACTAATGGAGAATAGACACAATTTGCAGTACCTATGACATGTGAAGCATGTATAAAAGATATCGAAGGATCTTTGTTCAAACTAGGTGGAATACAGAAAGTTGAAGCAAATCTAAAGGATCAACTTGTTACTATTGAAGGAACAAGTAAGTTTGTAACTTTACCCCGCCAAGAGAATGGGGAGGATTTGGGAGATGGGGATTCGTTACTGATGTGAAAATAGCTGCGCCTTCGGAAATCGTCAAGGCGATCGAGGAGACGGGGCGAGATGCAATTTTGAGGGGTTCCGGGGGGAGTGATGGTATGTTTGTTTTTTACGTTGTGTTTGAGTGGGAGCTTGGGTTCATTTCATGGTTGATGTTTTGAGGTCCTTGTCTGAGATGTGTATAGGTGCGGCTGTCTGTATTCTTGAGACACATGATACCACTGTATCGGACAAAGTACGAGGATTGGTGAGGATGGTGCAGGTATCACCTACATTAACGTTGGTGGATTTGACGATTCGAGGATTGCAAGAGGGAACATATTGGGCTACTGTTAGAGAAGCGGGGGATATATCCAATGGAGCAATTTCTACGGCAGGTCTATGGAAGGGAGGTAGTGAGGATACACCGAAAGGTGCGTTTGGTACCGTGAATGTGGGAAAGAATGGAACGGGAAGTGTGTTTTTGGACAAGCCAATTCAGATATGGGAAATGATTGGGAGGGGAATGGTAGTTTCTAAACAACATGAGGGAGACAGAAAGTTTGAGAAGAATGATGAGAATACTCTCGTGGGGGTGATTGCACGAAGTGCTGGTGTATGGGATAATGATAAGACAGTCTGTTCTTGCTCGGGCAAGACATTGTGGGAGGAAAGAAAAGATGAGGTTAGCAAAGGTATGCTCTGATCATACATCAGATGATCGCACGAGAAGTGGAACGATAGCATGATATGATAAGTACGCCCAAGAAGCTTAGTCTCTGCCACCAGCGCTTTTTACACACCTGTACGTGCTGTCCGTCTGAGAACAACCCGTGGCGGATCAGAGAATTGCAAAGAAGCAATTCAGAGGAAGAAAGCAGGGAATGTTCAAGTGTTCGATCAGGCTACCAGGACTACATCAAACCTTAAGGACGAGTATTATGAAGAGTAAGCTTTTCTTGTCAAACGTTAAGCCCGAATGCGTTTCAAATCTGTCATATACCGGGCAATGATTCCACTTTTCATTGCCGTCAAGATTACTTGTATATGGTAAGCCAAATCAGCGATATGTAATTTTTCAATCGCAGCCCTACCCTGAGCCATCATGTATGTTGATCTCATTATTCTTCACAGACCAAAAGACTGGATGCGACAGGGAAAGCTGCATGCAACCTTAATTTTACATCTGTGTTTGAACCATCGTAGAATGTGCCGTACTTTCTCATAGTGTCGGCTATTGCATATACTCTCGGGCGATGTTTGTTCTGTTCAACCTGTCCACCTACTAGACTGCCGTGAAAGTTGAGACGAAAGAAAAAATGGTTTCTTTTTTCAAGCTGGGCAGCATCATGCAAACCGATTCAATCACGATGGCGACCGTTTTTTGTGGTCTGGCATCTTTATTTCGAGTTTCTTCTTCTTCCGCGTGGCCGTTTAGAACTTTAGATGTGCCCTGAATTCTCAAACAAGGTGAGGAAGGTGAGGTGGAAGCGAGTTTCGTCCAATCGAGGTGTCTTCCCCTGAGACGCCAAGCTTCCTGCGCTTCAATTCAATGCTTATCCGATATCCGATAAGATGCCGGCTAGGACATTCGGCGGTTATCTTTTGAGGATTTGCCCTACGGTTATGTGCGTGGCCGTTTGTGATCTGTTCGGAGGTCACTTTCGGGGTCAATTACTGAATTGGTCTGGGCCCAGCAGGCGAGGTACTGAATTGGTCTGTGGGAAGTTGGTATGATTGCATGGCATGGATGAGTATATGTATAGGATACGTTCTCATTGCCAAATCGATAGTTTGCAATGTCAAGTTCTCGGTCAAAGACAAAAATAACTTTGCATATTGAACTCTTCCAATTGCATGACATAACAAGCCCGTGGATCTGAAGTCATTCATAGGTCCAAGATATCACAAGACCTTAACCTATAAATAATGTCGAATGAAATCTATACTCAGGTACCAATAACATAAACTATTGAATCAATCCCGCTGCAAGCAAGACTATCACAGTCACCGGTGACATTCTATTTTATGTGAGTTCATGATCTCCAACTCAATTCTACCAAGTCAAGACACTCGACTAATCCAGACTTTACATACTGAACCATTAAAAAGAAAAAGCGATATTGTGGACATTTGAAAAGCCAAAAGAAATGCACGGACAAGAAAATACGTTGGAATACGCGCCGATGGAACGAAAAGTGACAGAAAGCGTAACTCTTGACCATCCAATCGGCATGGTATAGGGGATCTTGGAACACTTGCTGCTTTGAACCAGCCTTAAGCGAACAGAATCCAAGTTTCGCAAGCTCCAAATGTGTGGCTATCAACTTTTCATATTTACCAATCATTTTCATAATTTTGGAGAATAAAAGCAATTTTGCTGGTGGCTTGAGCGATTAATCATGATGCTTTTGTATGAAAAGCGTCTCAATTGTGGTTTACGCTTTCATTTCATTTCCAATATCGAATGCGGCTTTTCGAAGTAGATAGATAGTTCGAGTAGACCACATACATTGCAACAATATGTCAGAACACCGGAACGTGAGGGCAAGACAAAGCGACATCACTACTGTTGCGAAGTAGTCCGATGAATGAATGGTAAGATAGCTACTCGAGTGAATGTTGAAGCAGCGATTGACAAGGGGGATTCAAGAAATGGTTTGGAATTTGTAACTCATTACCCAAGGACTAAGACCGAAGCAAGGATATAGTGAAAATGGCAAGAACACTTTCGCAAAATGTAAGAATCTATTTCCAAATTTCATGAACTGTGCTGTGTTCCATATATGAATAGAGAGGTATGTATGTACGTATGTATGTATTTCATATCAACGCCCCTTGAGCCACTGCTATATTTGAACCTCAGTCTCTGTATATAATATGGACAATATAACCATCCGCATGCATGAAACTCCTATGTTCGATCTACTTAGGTAGTCAATACTTCTTCCTACACATCTCCTCCGTACTAGTCGTAGCCCCGTTCGACACGATACGTCGATTAGTTGCCGTGGATCGTGTCGGGGTTAGCAGGGACCATTTTTCGACTAGGGAACCCCTCTAAATCCACATTTTAGTATCACTGCACCATCGACTTGCATCAAGAGACTAATCAATCCACGTACCAAGCAATTCAAACCTCGTCTCCTCGTTTAACCCTCCATTTTCAATCTTCCATATCCAAAAGAACTTCTAGGGCGCTACCCGTACATTGAACTTCTTCTATTATCCACTCATCCTCCTCCGTTCGTTGTAAGAGCGCTGCTAGCCAGCCATCGTACCTTACATTTCCAACCCAATTCGTTCTGCTTCGTGCATACACCCACACTCCCTTGTCTTTGAACTCTTCCACTTTATCCGTATCTTTTTTCTGTTCTATTTTCGAGTATTCACATTTGAACATCAAGCTGTCAATCTTTCAATCTTTCTACAATTCATTCATCACGAGAACGGAAAATATCGAAGTCAAATCAAATCAAGTCTCCACGTTCCTTCGAGGTGCCGAATCGATATTCCCCACCAGCCCACCACTACTTTACGATCAGCAATCAACACTAATTAATAGCGACGGGAGGAGCCCGAAAGTCAAATCCTACGAAAAGTACAAGGACTCGCATATGATCCTTTGAATTTATATACTTTAGAACATAATCTCAACCAAAATACAATTACTCGACAATAAGACATTCCCATCGCTGGACGGATCCGAGAATATTTAATACACACACTAGTTGCATCAAAGAGAAGGGACGTACGCAAGAAAAAAAGATACCGACAATTCGAGATAGCTTCACACAACATACGAGTATTGCAACACGGCATAAAATTTCCTTACACCGCTTGATAGCTGGTCGCTCACGAAGGCGACCAGCCAGCTACGAAAGACCATTTCACGAATACATAATTTTTGAAGGAGAAAAGGCATCATGTCTTTGAAACAGGTTAGTGGGTGGAAGGAAGAAAGATGAGGATGAGAGAAGGATACTTCGGTACTGACTACTTGCGCAGGAAATTGAGACGTGGGTTTCTGCCCTTGGTCGTTACGATAATAATGAATTTGATGAAGCGTTGAAGGAGTTTGATGGCATTGCAGATACTTCAAAGATTCTCTTCAATTGTGGTGTTATTCATGCGACATTGGGGGAGCATGAAAAAGCGGTTAGTACATTTCATTACTGGCGACGAACTCAATTATACTGGCAGAATCTAATTCACTATAGGTCGAATGCTATCAAAAAGCGGTTCGCCTGGATCAATACCTAGCCGTAGCATATTTTCAACAAGGTGTCTCGAATTTCTTGGTTGGCGATTTCGAGGAGGCTTTGGCAAACTTCAATGATACCTTACTATACTTGAGAGGAAACAACATGATCGACTATGCTCAACTTGGCCTTCTTTTCAAACTATATTCGTGCGAAGTGTTATTTAATCGTGGGTTGTGCTACATATATCTACAACAGAAGGAAGCAGGACTGCAGGATTTCTCCTTCGCTGTGAAAGAGAAGGTTGTTGAGGATCACAATGTCATTGATGAGGCAATTCGCGACGAAGCCGAGGTATGTTTGCCATTCAGAGTTTCATGTTGAGAATTTACTGATACTCTCATAGGGTTACACCGTTTTCTCAATTCCCGTAGGAGTTGTTTACAGGCCCAATCAAGCGAAAGTCAAGAACTTGAAGACAAAAGATTATCTAGGCAAAGCACGTTTAGTTGCAGCTTCAGACCGTGCTAATGCTTTTACTGGATTTGCTGGTTCAGAGATTAAGAATGTGAGTAATACTAATAGTACACTCCGAACCTGTGACGCTAATTGTTTCAGGCTGGTATAATTCAACCCAAGGATGACCGTCCGACAGAGAATCTTTCATACGCAGCGGCAAACCTTGTAAAGCCCGGTTTGGCTAGCAAAAGACAACAATCAGAGCCACCTCTGAATCGAAATGTTTTCCCACCCACACCACCTCCTGAGGCAGAGAAGACTTCTGGACCTCCACCCATGAGTCGCGGGGCTTCTGTTCGGAACGGACCTAAACCCATGCCAGCTAAACTCAATATCGAAAAAGCACGTCCTAATGAAAGTTACGAAATTCGTGAACGCGACGATGCAAGAAGTCCTCCAGATGCGCGACCCGCCAGACGCGGGACTCAAAGAACAGCATCAGAACCAAGGGGACCATCGCAAATGCAATACTCCAATAAAAGATCCGAATCACGTTCAAGACAACCACCAAGACGAATGCAATCAACGCAAGAAGAAGAAGATGACTACCCTGAGGATCTCTATGATATGTATAGCTCCCCAGGTCGGAGATCGAATAACTCTAGACGCAACACCCGGAATAGATATATCGAAGAAGAAAGCGAATACGCAAGCGACTACGACGAAGGCTCTTTTGACGAAGATGAATTTGAAATGGTCTCTAGTCGTCCGCCTCCTAGATCCCGCACAACATCCTCAATTAATGGTGGTAATGGTCGAGCTGGCTCTCGTCAACCTGATATTCGCAAAGTTCGTGTGAAAGTCCACGCCGAGGATGTACGATATGTTATGATAGGCTCGGCTATCGAATTCCGCGATTTTCAAGATAAGATAAAGGAAAAATTCGGGCTGCGTGATCGATTTAAGATCAAAGTTCGTGATGAGGATGTGCCCAATGGCGATATGATTACGATGGGTGACCAGGATGATTTGGATATGGTTTTGATGAGTGTAAAATCAAATGCAAAGAGGGAACGATTGGATATGGGAAAGATGGAAGTGAGTTTTTTTACCTTCCCCTTTTTTCAATGAATATTGCCTACTGACATACAAACTAGATTTGGGTAGTAAAAGCGTGATGTGAGGACAAGTAAGATTATGATGAATGTTGACGATTATGTCTTTCCTTTTTATTTTATTTTCTCATGTACCAAAATTTCTTCCTCATTTCTTGGATGAATGTTTTGGGAAGAGAAGCGAGATTTTTTGTCTACTTAATTTGTTCGCCGAGGGAGAAAAATACTTCTTTGATATGATACCAGCAAATATCCACATTAGCGAATATAAATGTATTGTTTGCTTTCTTATATCCTTCTGAATATTGACATTCAAATATATAGCGCTTAGAATTGTATAAGCGAGCGCTGAATTCGATGCGAAAAAAGGAATGTATGTACTAGGATTTTGGATGTATGAGTACATTCATATTGTTGTAATTTGGGAGAGGAGAGAATAGGGTGGGAGATTATCATTAATACATGTCTGGGACAAAATTGATATATCTTTCCTTTTCCTTTTTGTGAGTTTGAGTTTAGGGGGTTTTGTGGATTTGGATTTCGGGTTTCTCTTCTCTTTGCGTTGGTTTCTTCTTTGTGATTTGGGGAAGAATGTTAAAGGGAGGGTTAGGGAGATGGATGAGATGGATGAGATTAAGTGGTCAATGTAAAATGGATGCATGCATGGATAGGGGAGAACTCGGGTATCGAGGGTTTGGATATCCAGAATCTAGATGGATGATGGGTATGAAGATAAGGATCGCATAGGACGGGGGAAATTGGGATGGGTTATATATATACATATACTATGGATATTAATTGGTATGGATAATGGATATATATGTGTACCTAAACGAATAAATATGTATGTATATGTATGTATGTGTGTACGTACGTAAATCTTGTACAATATGAAGATTTGATATTGATTGATTGATTGATTGATTGATTGATTGATTGAGCACGGAGACTTGAAGTGAGAATGAAAATGGAAATGGAAATGGAAATTATGCGTGGATAGGTAAATACGTAATTAGATAACTTGTGATTGAATGGACATCAATATTTAATGCTATACGTGCTGCATTACATCTACACTTATGTCTACCATACTCATCTAGAAAGAGAGAAAAAGAAAGAAGACTCACAGGACAGGAACCCATGAAATCTCTAATCTTTAATCTCTAATACCCCCCCACCCCCTCTATGAAATGAAGTAAATCTATCTAACACTGGGGAAAAACAATGTCAAAATAGAAACGAAGAGACCCCGGCGATTTGGCTCCTTCAAATTTGCTACGAGGTGGATTTTGTATGTATTTTGAAGATGCTCATTGTCATCGTCAGAAAAAAGGAGAAGCGGAGGGGGCTGTATTTCGTATATATATGGTTGGTGGATGGAAATTTAAGTGAGGCTGCTGTTAGGGAACGGGGTTGGACATGTAATGGGTTTTGAGAGAATCACGATATGTTAACTATTCATAGAATTTAGAAAATCTGTTGCTTTGTTGTGAGATTAAATCGAGTTGAATTCCATGCTTGAATGGTATCTGCCATGATCTATATACATGGCCCTGAAAATGCGCCTAACGCTCTATACCCAAGATGCCAAAACGCCTTTCCAATATAAAGCCATGGTGAGTGGCGCCATGCCAATTATGCTATCATAAAATCATGATGTATGTCAAATCTATAGCTTTGGTGTGACTGGAGTTCTAGTGACGGTGACATTGATGAGTCCGTTTGGTCCAGATTGAGGAGCATAAACTTCTGCGTCCTTTCCAGTGTTCTTAAGACCCTTGTGCCAGCTGAGATCTGTAGAAATGTTAGAACTTTTCTCGCACATTAAATTTTTCTATTTTACTTACCAACTTCGAAATAATGCTTATTGGGCAAGGAGTAATCCACAGTATCGACTTCGGGGACGGCCTCCAAAATGGAGCCACACATCTTGTACATGGTGTTTTGTACAGATGGGCTGTTCTCTTCAGCGAATGTCTTCATGGTGATATTTCTGGCATCATCAAATGCTTTATCGAATTTGGGGATGGTCTCTTTCACAGCGTCCAATCCGGCAAATGTTTTCCACGACCAGCCACAATCAACATCAGTTGACAAAATTCTGTCCCAAACCTCGGGGAGGGTAGTGTACTCGTCTCGGACAAAGCCGTGGAATTGCGAGCCGGTGCTCTTCAAAACCAAGAGCCCAACAATTCCGCTACGGATATCGATGCCCTTTCCTCTCTTGACAACGGCTTCAACATTTCGTGTCTCGCTTCCGTCCCTGTAGAATGAATGTGGGTGGGGCTTGCCATCGATAGTCATTCGTGTCCATCTGTGAGTAATGATTTTGATGTTGGCTGCGGTGAGATGGGGGTAGGTCTCGATAAAATGAGTTCCGAGAATACTAGCAAAGAGCTCGGGTGGAGTAACTGGATGTTCCTTGGCTTTGATGTAGACTGTGTTCTTCATGGAATCGGTTGCAACCACAACACTGTTATCGGCCTTGGTATATCTAGAGATTGGTTAGTTCTCGATTTCAGGGGGGTTCAGTGAAAGAGGCAACATACGAGACGTCGATAGCACCCTCCAGTAATACACAAACGGTCATTTCAGTGACAGTTTGAGTTCCAGTCTGCTCATCTCTCTCTACTTTATAGACGCGGACGTTGTCCTTGCCATATTTTGCTGAAGCTATCGATGCCATGATAAATGGGTAAATTTGGTTTGATGTCTAGAAAGTAAGAAGATGCAATAGAAGATGTTTTGGTTAGAGTTCTTGTAGAACGCAATTGAAAGACTTGATAGGTATTAGTATGGTGTGAGTGACAACAAGAATGAGGATAGCAGATGAATGAAATCAAATGAAGTCAAGGGGACTTCGGTCTCTTTATGGAATTCTGAGTATAGTCGCTAAAGAGTCTTAGCGGCAATGAAGTTAGATATTGTTTCGAGGAGAACGGAGAAGCTCAAGCTACCTGCAGGAGTCCACCGAATAAGATAGTTACGGGATGTTGTATCTTGGCTCCATATGCGAGAAGTTGATTCCAACATCTATCGGAAGGCGCCGAACGCACGAGGCCGATTTGTAGCCTTGTAATGAAACTTTGATAATTGGTCTTACTTTTACCTAACAACCATAATTTTTGGATGAAAAAGTCTTTCCACATTGCGGGTCTTTGGGAGAATGGCATTTGAAACTTCGGGATTTGAAAGATTTGAAATGATATTGATCATTACATGAAGTATTGAGGAATTGAAATGCAAGGCTGACCTGACAGAACCGACGGGGTCGTCCGCCATACCTATTACCTACTAAAACCACAGGTCTGACAGGTCTGTTCTCTCGTACGATGATTCTTATGTCTCATTGGACCCCACTATGAAACTTTGAAACTTTGAATGGTTCTCATCTGATGCCGCTTCAACAATTGAAGAAGAGTGTGAAGGCCATCTCGAGGTTTATACATGCAGGGAGATCAAGCAACTTCTTAAAAAGAGCGACAAGGCGGTCTCTCTTCTTGGTACTATCATGATGAACTGGAGATCTGATAGACAACGGGGTAACCATGAGATGAGATTCTCTTATCAGACTATTGCCGTTCTTAATATAGAGTTACTCCTGCAATGCTCATTGATAAAGAAACCCGATTTCCTGAAGGGGGGTGGGTATTTTCGTACATTATCTTGAAGCGTGAAGCACCATTCCGTACAATTCGTCCAGTCTGTACATCTAGCAACCAAGCCTTCCTGATGTACGTTTCAATATTTCGATGTCTTCAGTTCTAGAGCTGGATCATATCGATATAGAGTAGGAACGTATGCGGACAATATATAAGAAGAAGAAGAAGAAGAAGAAGAAGAAGAAGAAGAAGAAGAAGAAGAAGAAGAAGAAAAGAATAAACAGATGCAAATATCTATAAGAGTCCGAAATATAATGAATGCATTTGTCCATGAACGATTTCCCCATAAAATGAACACCAAAAGTAATTTGTTAGCGATGTCTTCATGGTCTTTTGGTCTTGTTGGTCTGTGTTGGGATTTTTACCCCCATCATCTATCTATCTGCGGGAATGGGAGCGTTAAAGAACGAATTGATTGATTGATGAAACATCTTTAATATTCTATGAACATTTTGTCGCAATACAATCCAACAATTTATTTTCAGAATTTCCAAAGAAGCTGTTTGATACCTCTATTTCCCCACAATCTTTAGTCATTTTCTAGTACAGCAACACCTCAAACTTCACTATCTACAAGCTTGGTGCCCACATCGACTGCGGAACCTCCACACATACCACGACAAGCATAGATTGTATTGCCCACGAATAGCGTTTAGCTGGACCGAAATCCATTGCACCACAATCGTATCTCCCATTCTCGCATAGGTACCTGGATGACTTTTGTGTCGGTCCCTTAACTGCACCACCTATGTCACCCCCGCACGAAGAACGTTGACCCCGACCTCTCGAATGGGCAGATGGTTGGACCATCGAGCATTCTGGGTTCGTCTGTGACGACTGCCCAGAAAAACACATACGCACAACAATATGCCGGGAGGACCAGCTTAGATCAACCTGGGGGTTTGCAACCACCAGGTCAAAATGGCTCGCGAATGGCCTCAAGCTCAACAGCCGCATTTGCGCCTCGTGGTTCCTCTCTCGCGCCATCTCCCGCCCCGGGAAGCTTCAGCTCCACAATGCGTAGCCAAATGCCACGGCAAGCTTCGGCTCTCGATACAAATGTTTCCATGATAAACTTGGAGCGATTGGACGAAGACGATAGTACGACGCCGGTGAAGATATTGTCGAATTTACGCGAAATGCTGAGTAGGGAAATGAAAATAAAAGAGGGCAGTGAGAATATGTTGGAGGCGCTGAATACGAAGAAAGCAAAGCAGACGAAAGAGCAAAGGCAAAGGGTGGAAGCGGAGCTGAATATATCCAACCAGAAGATCAGAGATTTGAGATTGAAAATTACGGAAATGCAAAAGCCTAAACTACCCACCACTCCTACGCGCAGTCGAATGGATGCTCTCTTCCAAAGTAACGGTGTGAGGTCACCTCCAAGTGCTTCTAAGAGTATGGGGGGCTCAGAAGCAGCAGATGAGCCCACAGAGTCGCCAACATATGTCTTAGCTGAAATACTACAAGCTCTAGAGGTGGAAGGCCTCACTCCGGATTACTACGTTGGTCATGCAAACGATCTGGTTGAGCTCTTCAAGCGTCATCCCACCTTGAAGTATGATCTAGTCTGGTCAGTATTTGGCTTGAGAATGCAAGTCATGCTTTTGAGTGGGAGTCGAGAGGTTGTAGCTGCAGGATATCGCATGACAAGATATGCAATTTCGGATGTCAGCTCTTTACAAAAGATTCGCAGCCTAAATACTGATAATCTTGTTGTCGTGTAAGTACTGGACCTGGTAAATATTCATGCCTATTGCTAAAGAGTTCTTAGATCACTCATCAAGAAGGGAACTTCTGACGTGGAAAGAGAGCAGGCCTTGAAGTTTATCCGAGCATTTCTAGATGTCAAAGATGGCATAAAAGAGGTCTCTAGGGCTGTGGTCAGAACTATAGCTTCAGTTGCAGATCATGAGGAGGATCGACTCAAAGCTATCTGCATAGAGACACTTGCGGAGATCATGGTCCGCGATCCAGGTCTTGTCGTTGCCTCTGGTGGTCTCAGACCTCTTGCCGATGCTCTAGGCGATGGCACTTACGACGCTTCCGAGAGTTTAACAGCAGCGTTTCTGTTTTTGCTTGATTCTCCTCATAGACGCCAGTATTTGCGATCGGGTTATGAGCTAGAAATCCTCTTTACTTCTTTCACCGACTCACTGTTTGTGAAAGAAGATATTTTGAAGCAAAACTCGAAGGCTATTTCATATGCTATGAATTCATGGCCTGGTCTTATGACATTGTCCATGTACGACTTCAGAGCTATCAAATCACTGATATCATGCTTAATCCTCCCCAATCCCATTGTACGCGAGACTGTCATAGATATGCTTTATGGAATCTTGCGCATCAAGTCTCCTTTTTGGGCAACCTCTTTCCTCGCTGGCAGGCGTCTCACTACATATGGAAGAGTTGCAAACCTCAAAACGGCACCGGCAAAGGTATCGGCGCAGTCAGCGACCGATGATGAATCGGGCGATAAAAGTTTTGTCGATCATTACACAGCGCTTCTACTAGCAGTGCTAATAAATGCTGGCATGGTTGAAGGATTGTTGCAGGTAACCTCGGATACTGACAATGCGACGTTAAAGCGAAAAACTACTCTGCTCATTGGAGAAACCTTGAAGCTTGCTAGTCAACTATTGCCATCAAGCTGGAGTGCTGAACTTCAATTACTTCCCGGATTATTCGCTGCTGCATCTCAATTCGGGAGCGATGGACGACTTGTGGCCACTAGCACGGTATATCAAATTAGCAGTGTGAGTCGAACATTGTATAGATCAGCTCCATCCATCTCGACAACTCTTTCGATAAATAACAGTCACGATAACTTGTCAAGCTTGGGAGATCAGCCTAAAAGCAATCCTAACGTCTCGTTTGACGAGACGACATTTAGACAGCTATTGGTTGAATCTCAAGTTTTGGCCAGCACAAATCCTATTAAGTGGAAGTGGGATATTATCTTGCGAATTATCGAGGGCCCGCTCACAAACGGCAAGCGGCTAGATGAAGCTGTGAAAGCCTCAAAGTTCATCAAAAGGATAATGAGTTTCTATCGGCCGTTTAAGTACAAGTTTTCTGAAGTTAGAAACACAAGGATAAATCAAAAATATATCAAGGTCGGTTGTGCACTCATGCACACTCTCCTTCAAACTGTGGAAGGAGTCAAATACTTGGCGGACAACAAGTTGCTCAGACAAATTGCAGAATGTCTTGCTCAATGTGACCCGGTAACAATACCCCCCTGACTATGATAATTATCTCGTATACTAACACCTAGCAGACGAGTGGCCTCACCGCTTCTCAACCAACATTCTCAAAGGAAAGACTTTCAGAAACTCTTGCATGTGGTTATTTTGCTATGCTTGGGACTTTGACTGGCGATCCAAAAGGGTTGCAAATGCTCGATCGTTGGCGAATGATCAATATGATGTATCACATAATCGATTTGAAGCAACGTCCCGACTTGATTAGGCTATTGTTATCAAACTTTGATTACAATTTGCCGGGACATCCGAGAGTCCTCTTATCTAAGGCTCTGACTGCAGGATCCAAAGAGATTCGTATACATGCGACGAACGTCCTACGCAAATATTCAAGTCGAGCCATAGGAACCACCGACTATAAATGGGCAATCGAGCTTTTAGTCACCCAACTTTACGATCCAGAGGTTGAAGTCTGCGCAACTGCTATCAAGATTCTTGAGGAAGCTTGTAATAGGAAGAGCTACCTCGAATTTATCGTGGAGTGTCGTCCAGCTTTAGATCATTTAGGAGAAATTGGTGCTCCTTTACTACTACGTTTCCTTTCCACGTCAATTGGATATCATTATTTGGACGGACTGGATTATATCAGCAATGAAATGGACGATTGGTTCCTAGGACGAAATGATAGTTATGTTGGAGTTATCGAGGCAAGCTTGGCAAAATCCTTTGTAGAAATGCCTGAAGAATCTTCAAATAGGATGAGTATGGACGAAGATAGCTTTGATCTCGAAGGCGAAAACGATGCACAAGTTCCTCCTCACTTCTACAGAGAACTCACTCGTACAAAAGAAGGCTGCAAACTTCTTCAAGACAAAGGACATTTTGAAGAATTTGCTTGCACTATCCGTGAATATGGTATGCTAGCCGATGATCCAGAACTCATTCTCAAAATCAAAGGATGTCTTTGGGCGGTCGGAAATGTAGGATCCATGGAGCTAGGTGCACCTTTCCTAGAAGAATCAGATGTCGTCGAACAAATCGTCAAGATTGCCGAAGAACATCAAATCATGAGTCTACGCGGTACCGCGTTTTTCGTCTTGGGACTCATTTCGCGTAGTCGACATGGACTTGAAATTCTCTCTGAACATGGATGGGATTCAAACACCACCTCTCTAGGTATCTCACTCGGTCTGTGCATCCCTCAAAACCTGAACAAATTTTTCTCCTACCAACCTTGGGAACATAAAACCATCTCCGACATAGTAATCACAGATGAAGAAAAAATCGAAATCGATAAAGCAAGAGTAGATGATCGGGATATAAATCAACGTATCCTAGAATTGGTGGAAAATCTAGGAAATATGATATTGCACAAAAAGGCAATCGGGGAGCTGATACAGATCAAGGAGAATCAAGGGGATGCATTCAAACAGGTGGGACTTTTCAAAAAGGTTATGGTACTGTTGGAATATCATCATTTTAGATTGCCGATGAGGAGGTTCGTAATCGAACTTTTCGAAAAGAGGGTTCTTAGACGCATTGTGCTGGATGAGGATAGTGATGATGAAGTAGAGATGGGAGTGGGGATGGGAGGAAGGGAAGGAGCGGGGAGGGAGATGGGGGTAAGGGAGATGGAGAGAGTACAAAGAGGTCCAAGACACGAAGAAGATAGTGGGAGTGAAGGCGTAAGGACAGAACGTCAGAGAAGTGTTACGGATATTAGAGTGGTGGGAAATGAAGCCAATAATGCTTCGATATGAGATGATGTGCTTCGAAATAGTGGATGGCTGCATAGATAGATGCATGGATATGTACGATTATAAGAGATCGACAGACACACACACACAGAGAGAGAGAGGAACGGAGAGATGATGAGTGAGGTGCAATGATGCATTCATCCATCACGCACTCTGCATCAGTTGGCATAAACCAGTAGCAAAGATTCTCGCAGTTCAAACTCTTCACGGCGTTCTTTTCTTCCTTCTTTCTCCTGTCTTTTCTCATTCTCCCTTTTTCCTCGCATAGAAGGAAGCAATATCGCGCAAAGCGAAAATCCTACTCGCTTCTCGCTTCTTCTTCCACATTTCCGCTTCCGAATCTGTATTTTCAAAGTTTATCTAGCATACATAGGCTTGCTTAGGTTGTCTACCCACCTACCTACTTATCTGGGTAGTTGGGGTGGTGCGTACGTATGTACGGGCGGGCGGGCGTGATTCAATCCATCTATCTGGCAGGCGTGGCAGGCGTGGTTTGGTGTATGGAGTGCGTGGAGTGATTTGATTTGATTTGGAGTTTTTTTTGGAGGCATGGTTTGGTTTGCATTTAGGGGGTGGTAGAAGGGGTTGGAGATGGATGGGGATGGGGGAATGGATGATATCAAAATTTGAATTGTAGGGAAGAAGAAGAAGAAGAAGAAGAAGAAGAAGAAGAAGAAGAAGAAAGATGTTAGGATTTGAAAATAAATGAAATGGATTTTTACTCAGTTTATGCTGGACTTGATTGACTGTTTTGTTTATCGCTTGGATGAATGAATGGAGTGAGTGAGCGCCTTTGTCTTCTATAACATGCAGTGAGGAGATTTAACGAGAGAGATAGATGGGTGAGGAATAAATAAAGTGTGATTTGTTCACGTGGATTTGTTTGATATAGTTTCAACCAGGTCTCATATGCATCATTTCGGGAAAGCCCAGAACCATGAAAAGAACTCCATCTGCAGTTGCAGTGCAGCCAAACGATTCAGACAATCATTTTCAAATCACCCAAGATCACAGTTCACGTCAAGGAGCATAGATAATTTCATAAATTTCATTCGTTCTTACTAACTGCAGCTGGCTGGCGTGATGAAAAAGAAAAGAAGAAAGTTAAAAAACCAATGACAAAAGAAAAAAGAGATTATAATTGTACAACAAGGTTTTCCGAGCATCCATCCTGCGTTCCTCCCCACAAGCAGGGACCTCCAATACCCCCTTGACACAAATCCACGGCTTTCACAATAGATTTATCCCCCAGCTCCAGAACAAGACAAGCCCTTCCGTGTTCTATTGCTCTGTATTTCACTCAAGACCAACCACCACCAGCCAGCCAGGCTATCAGAGAAAAACCTCATAATCACTGCGCAACAACCTTGAAGCCCCATGCCTTACTTTGCGAAGATGACATTAGGGTATCAAGTCGTGACAGCGCCAATGCAAATAAAACAAAAACGCAAAAGCTGGAACGTAACAGTCGTAGACCATCGTATGGGTGCATTAAAGCAGACCGGGTCATCGATCATTAGAGCCACGTAAAGACGAAAAAAAATATGGACAGAAGAATAAAAAGCTTTTAGAGGTCGTGATCGGCTACCAACCATATCGCCGTCCAAATCCAACCCCTGCCAGCCAAAGAAATTTGCAGATAGAAAGCATCCCATTTTTCCCACGCACCAAATACCGGATAATGCATTAGAAAGATGACCGAAAACAAGATCTGATGATAACGGAATTTAGTCTAATGTGTGAAATCTGAGGTATCACAGTGAACAGAATGAGGAACTTTTAAGACACCCTTTGAAAAATAGGCCCCGCCGTAAATGCAAGATTAGCCCGCCGTCTATGCACAGAAATTAGAATGATCCGTTTTATTAAACACTTTTGTTAATGCTCAATGATCAAGCATCACCCTCCTTCTTGTCAGAAGCTGCTGTGGACTTCGACAATACTGGAGAAGTGTGGGTAGAAGGAGGAGATGCTGGGTTCTCGGTCTCGCCAGATCCTAATCCTGCTAGTAGACTATGGACAAGTTAGTTGAGCGTCAATGGATTGTCAAGAATAGAATATACGAACCTGAACGCATTTGCGGAAGTAGCTGATTTCCTATCCTTGTCTTGTGGGGGTGTGCCTGTTCTTGAAGAAGCTCCAGAGTCTTCACCTGTTCTGCCCAAGGAACCTCCTGGTCCCATCTTTCGGCCACTGTTGCTTCTTGAAGAAAACATAGATGATGGCCCGAATGACATCTGTGCATTGGTGTTTCGGCTTGCGCCACCCTTGTTTGTGAGACGACGAAGGTCATCCATACCAACAGTGTTCTTCTGGTAATCAGGAGGAGGTTGGTTACCATATCCACCAGAGAAGTTTCTTCCGTCACCACGACCCATTGGCATGCGTCCCCCACCACCACCTCTTTGACTCCTAGAGTTCTCGGCAGCCTTTGCAGCAGCAGCAGCCTCGGCCTATAATCAATTAGTATATTTTCACTTATCAAAGTTTGTGAGGAAACTCTTACCGCAGCTCTGACTTCTTCAAGTGTCTGAGGGCCCTTGTTTGCTTCCTTTGAAGCCCATCCCTTCTTACGAAGATCGACAATGTCCATAAGCATGAACTTGAGACGACTTGGCAACTCAGGTTGCTCCATCATGGCGTTAATACGAGAGAAGTATACATCCATCAATGGTCTACCCTTCTCAGTGCTGTCAAGGTTAAGACCAATGGTCTTGAGGAGTTTGGTCAAAGACTCAATCTCGGCTTCATCAGGAAGACCATTGTAGTCCACGAGTTTCTTAACACACTCATGCATGATACGCTCTGTAAGCATGCTAAGCTTGTACAATTCACCAATGAATTGAACAAGACCAAGACCACGTCTCTTGGCAGCAGCAGCGATATAATACTCGTCCGAGAGCATAGCAGCTTCTTCAGTCTTGGCATCCTCGCGTTCACCCTCAGGCTTATCTGGCAAGTCAATCTTCCAACCTCTCTCGAATTCTTCTTGACATCTGTTGAGCAGGTACTTTCGGAAAAGGTTACCACCAGAGACGATGTTTCCATTCTTGTCTACGATGCTCTCATCCTTGATGTCAGGGCTCATGGTCTCCAACATGCGCTTGCAGAACTTGGCATACATGGAAGCCCAGTGAGCTTCGTCAGTGGCCTTCTCGAAAGTAAGTTGAATGACCTGTCTCAATGTGCGGCCATCTGCTTCGTCCCTAGACTGTGCAGCAATAGCTAAGATTTGGTCGGCGATCTTGTCGAACTTCTCAGGAGTCATCTTGTTCAAAGCTGCCTTGACCTTTCTTTGAACCATGTCAGGATCCATGTGGCCAGCGCCTGGAGTGGCACCGGGTGTAGGCCCAGCAGCACCAGTAGCTGTTTGACTTTGACCGACACTGCGTGGTTTCCAACCAGTGGAAGAAACTTGAATGGGCTTAATCTCCATGCCGCTGGTAAGAGGCATCTTTGCTGCGGCTTGTGCCTCTTGCTTGGCGTTACTGCCTTGGTAACCGCCTTCACGCTTGCTACCACCACGAGTGGATCTGCTTGCTTGACGTGGGGAGTGTGGCATGGAGTTGGTAGAGTTGGTTCGTTGCATAGAGCCACCGGGGAAAGCTCCACCGGGGCGTTGGAATGAGGCCATAGGGTTGTTGATAGCTGGTCGTGCCATATTGCCTTGAGACATAGCAAAACGCATTTCGCTTGTAGTACCAGGTGGAAGGGTCTTTCCACCTTGAGCACCAAATTGACCCATGGTGAATTGACCAACAGCATTTCCACCACCACGGTTTGATCCTCGAGGACCCATACCACCTGGTGTTCTCTGTGATCCACCAGGTCTGGCAGAGCCTGGATCATCTCCGATGAGAGCCTTGATTTGTGACTCGAACTCCATGGATGGCTTCTCGGTGAATACCTTTTGGAATTGGAGCAAGAACTCTTTGTCGTATTTGAAGGTCTTGCCCTTGGCATTAGCGGCAGAGTTCAAAGCAGGGTTTGGCGAATTGATGTTGGGTGGATAGATAGAGGAGTCAAGAACAGCCAAGAAACGGGCAGACTTGAGCGACTGGAGAGCTGCACTAGGTTGAGGTGGCTCAACAGGCTTAGTGTTAAGGGGTGCAAGGTTAAGCGCAGCAGGCTTGCCTCGCTTCTCGGCAGCAAGTGTCTTAGGAGGTGGACCCATAGAGTCATCAGAAGTAGGAGTTGATGCACCGCTATCGGTTTCGAGGGTAGCCTTTGAAAGCTTTGTAGCGAGAGTATCGGGGGTCTCCTCATCCTTCTTAGCATCACCACCTTTGGCCTTGGCTTCAGCCTCGGCTCTCTTCTTCTCCTTTTCATCTTCGAGGCGTTCCATCTCGCGCTCCTGCTCCTTGAGTTTGCGGTCATTTTCTGCTGCATTGGCCTTGTCGGCTTCAGCCTTCTCGGCAGCAAGTCTTGCTTTTTCAGCGTTACGCTTAGCGAGAAGTTCAGCTTCTTTCTTCTCTCGTTCAGCTTCAGCAGCCTCCATCTCGGCAATTTGTCGCTCCAACTCATCGTCAGCTTCCTTTTGGGCCTTCTCGGCAGCAGCTTTCGCGTCTGCTTCTTCCTTGGCCTTGGCTTCTTCGGCGGCCTTGGCTTCTTCCTTTGCCTTTTCTTCCTCCTTCAATTTGGCTTCAGCGGCGGCTGCGGCTTCGGCAGCCTTAGCAGCCTCCTCATTCTTGCCCTCGTCGACCTTGTCACCTCCTGCTGCCATTTTCTTGACCTTTTCTTGCATCTCTTGACGAATTTCTTCAGCGGACTTGGTAGCCAAGCTATCAGTGCGAGCATGTTGAGGAGTAGCGGACTTTGGTGGAGGTGTTGGTGTAGAAGAAGCAATGACAGGTGGTGTTCTAGTTCTGTTGCTAGGAGCTGGAGAAGCAGGTGCCTTGATTGCGTCAACATTCAAGACATCACCGTCAGGTCTCTTGATGACAATAGCAGCGCTCTTGCGGGTTGGTCTAGAGAAGGTGTTTTGAGCAACAGGCTTTGGCTGAGGTGTATGTGAAGTGGTCGGTGTGATCATAGGAACTTGGGTTTGGCCCATGCTAGAAGCTGGTCGATGTTCAGACATTTGAGACGAATTGCGGGACATAGGTTGAGGTGCCTGTTGTGTATACTGACCAGCGATATATGGTTGGTTGTAGCCTGGTTGCGGTGATTGGGGTGGAACAGGGTGCATATAACCAGCTTGAGGATATTGGAAAGTTGGAGGGCCACCCATTAAAGGCATACCGGGGTAAGGACCGTAGGGATGAGTCTGTGTACCTGTTAGAAATTTGTCAAAGTTGCCAGAAGCTGGCGAGAAATCAATATTTGAAACATCAGAAGAAACGTTGAAATAGGGAGTGGCAGAAGGGAGAGGGGGGAGGCTTGGGTCCGTAGAATTTAGATCTGCAGGTTTCTTCGGGATAACTGAATCCTTGGCTGGAGGTGAGGGCAAATTCAACTGTTGGTTGGAAACAGGAAAGCCATTCTCCTGGTGCTCCGACTGCATGGATCCTTTTCTATTTCTGGCAATACCTTGACCGTTACTTCCACGGGG